GAGAGAAAAGAGAGAGGATAGAAGAGAGGGACAGAGAGGAGAAGACCGAGTAAAACAGCAAAAAGAAAAGGGGGAAGAGAATCTGTAAGAGAGACCAGAAAAAAAACAACAACACACAAATATGAATGTAATATTTTTTTGTGTGTGAAAAAACAAAACAAAACAGAGAGAGAGAAAGGGAGAGAGAAGAGAGAGAAGGAAGGGCAGACAGGGAAGGAAAGAGAGAGAAAAGAGAGACAGGAGAAGCCTGAGAAAAGCAGCAAAAAGAAAAGAGGAGAGAGAACGCGTAAAAGGAAATCAGAAAAAAACGAAAACAAGAAAAAAGAAAAGCTACACAGTGCACCTTTAAGTCCCATTCTATTAAAACTCCCAAAGTCATTCCCGTTCTCAGATAGGGCCTGGTCATTTGTTCTCCTGTAAAGACTATAACGGCTCGAGCCCCGTTTTAACATTAATCCAGACTCGAGACACGTAATTATACCTGCAGAAGATAAAGAGTTTCCAACTAAACAAAAGGCAATAAACAAACTGTGAAAAAGAACGCGCAGAAGCCATATTTCCAAATATGGAGTTCTATAGTATTCATTCATTACTGTTGTTTAGTACCCTGCTATTGGTAAGAGTTTATTATTAAGTAAGCAGTGTACACCCACGCACAAAACGGGATAACTTTTGGTGATGGTTTATTTCTTTCTATCTATTACCTAAAAGAAAGTCTGTATTTGTCTTTGGAAAACGCAAGAAAGAAAAGAAATACTTGTTAAAACTGCAGTGTGTATTCTTTTTCTCTGTGGAAATTACTGCTTATTTCGTTGTCTGGAATGTTTCACAGTATGGTATTAAACCTTTCGATCATCGCGGAGACCAAACCAGAAGTTACAGGACAGATCTGCGGAGAGGTGATCCCGCTCACAGTCAGAATGTCAGTTTTTCTCTGTATATTTGAGCTGTAAAACCACCTGTAATTGAATAAATGTAAGTAGAGCTGTTTAATGTCGTACTGTGGGACATTCTAAACAAAGCAATGACATTTTAAAACTATTCTTCAAAAGCCTATCTATAATGACAAGCTTTGATATTTGTTCACTTAGTCTTAGAAACTGATTTTAAAAAAGTAACAATCACAACGGAATCTAGGTTGATAGTGAATCCGTGTATTGTTCGTTCGTACTTCAAAATAAAACTAAAAATAAGAAAACAAAAAAACAAACTATTTTCTTCATTATTTGGTTCCAAAACCAAACTAAAAAAGGATAATGATTTGTTTTTACAGTTTTTGATTTTGTGTTTAAATGAATAATGGAAAAAATGGATAACGGCTGTTTCCCTTTTCCATGACTTAAACTGTGATGCCGGACTTTTGCACCGTATACGGACTGAACCAGGACTAAAACAGGACTAAAACAGGACTAAAACAGGACTAAACCAGGTCTAAACCAGAACTAAACCTGGATTAAAGCAGGACTGAGTGTCGGGATGAGCCCCGAGGTGTTCCCGCATGGACTGTCCGGTGATCAGGGACCAGACTCAGACTGAAACCAGGACTGAGACCGGGACCAAACCAGGACCAGACCCGGACCAGACCACGACTGAGACCGGGACCATACCGGGACTGAGACCGGGACCATACCGGGACTGAGACCGGGACCAGACCGGGACTGAGACCGGGACCATACCGGGACGGAGACCGGGACCAGACCAGGACCAGACCACGATTGAGACTGGTTTAGTCCTGGTTTAGACCTGGTTTAGTCAAGGTTCAGTTCTGGTTTAGTCTTGTTTTAGTCCTGGTTTAATCCTGGATCCAGCATCACAGTTTAAGTCACAGAAACAGGAAACGTCCATTATCCTTTTTTTCCATTATTCATTTAAACACAAAATCGAAAACTGAAAAAAAAAAAAAAAAAAACAACTAATCATAATCGTTTTTTCATTTCGGTTTTGGAGACAAACAATGAAGAAAATAGTTGTTTTTTTTGCTTTCTAATTTTTGGTTTTATTTTGAAAAACGAATGAATGAACTAACATGGATTCCAGTGCCTTAAAGGGCCAATTTTACACTTTTTATTTTCTCTTATATCTGTTATAGTATTGTTTCCTCATCAAAAATATACCTGAGGTTGTGTTTTGTTTCATTCACACATTTTTAACACACACATCCTGCATATTTAATTATTCTTGAAAATAGAAAACACTCTTAACTTTTAAACTCCATACACTTTCTTTATAGAATCATATGGATCATTTCAGTCCTACAGAAGGTAAACTTGAAAACTACCTCTTCATGACATCACAGGTGGAACAGATCAGAGACTAAGACAAGACTAATGGGTTACTAAAACTAGTGCTGTCATGCGATTAAAAAAATTGAGAGATTAATTAATTATGATCTGTAATTAATTAATCTAATTAATCTCATTTTAATCTCACCTAAAAATTGCTGAGAAAAGCCTTCAATTTGAGGTATTTTCATTTAAATTCATTATTACATTATTGTGGCAGATCAAAAGACTGATATAGATTTAAAAAAGTGACTTTATAAAGTCATTTATTGTTTAACAAATCTCTCCAAATTGACTGTTGAGCCCAAGTCTCCATGAATAAGAAACTGTTTGCTGTAAAGTAGCAAAGACGAGGAAATCTGAACATAATAACTTTTGTCTACTTAAAGACAATAAAAAGTCCAGTCTTTCCTTAACCATATTAAAAATATTATTGATAGAGAAATGCTTTATATATGAGATCACTGGTTTTAGTCCTGGTTTAGACCTGGTTTAGACCTGCTTTAGTCCTACTTTAGTCCTGGAATGGATTAATCCTGGTTTTAGTCCTGGTGTTAGTTCCTGGTGTTAGTCCTGGTATTAGTCCTGGTTTAGACCTGGTTTAGACCTGGTTTTAGACCTGGTTTTTAGTTCTGGTTTTAGTTCTGGTTTAGTCCTGGTTTAGTCCTGGTTTAGTCCTGGACTGGATTAGTCCTGGTTTTAGTCTTGGTGTTAGTTCTGGTTTAGAGGCTCACAGGAGGAAGCGCGGTTTACGCAGCGTAGCGAGAAAACACGGTCCACACGCGGCTCACGGGAGCACGTCGGTGTCCGCGCAGTAACTACGGAAGGAAACGTGGTCCGCGCGTTCTCAGGTTAATGACGATGATGAAGGTGTGTGTTTGTTTGTGTGTGTTTGTGTGTGTGTGTTTGTGTGTGTGTGTGTGTGTGTGTGTGTGTTGTGTGTTGTGTGTCCCCTCATGTGGCAGGTCACTATAGGACAGTAGTGCAGACATCATGAGTCTATGCAGGTTGTTTTTCAGGCGATATTATATTTGTTAATTTTCTTTTATATTTCACGTCGGGAGAATAATTTCCAAGACACGAATGTGTTTTTACCTGTGCACTGCTGCCTCTGTTCTACTGGCTCTTCCACCTCGTCCATTGTGCGACTGATGCTGCCAACGTTAACATGAACTGTTTACTTATCGCTGTTACTGCGCGCGTTTTGTGTGAGTTTTCCGGCAATGAGTGGAATTACCGAAATAAAAAAATGTATAAATGTGTTTTGTGTGTGTGTGTGTGTGTTGTCCCAACAAACACATAAAAAACTGTTTATAATAAAGAAACTCACATACAGAAACACTAAAGTTAGAGATTAAAAATGAGATTATCGCGATTAAAAAACATAACGCGCTAAATATGACTGTAATTAATTAATCGCAATTAACGCGATAATTTGACACCCCTAACTAAAACATGTGTGAATGAAACAAAACACAATTCCAGGTCTGTTTTTGAGAAGATAACATCATTATAACATGGCTCAAAGCTCACAAGAGTCAATTTTGCGTAGTACACACACATTTTCCTCATTCTCAGAACTCCAGAACCAGATGACAATAGCAGGACAAAACCAGGACTGAAAAAGGACCTATAAATGTAAATGTATTGAAAAGTCCTTGCGATATTCATAAAGCTACAGGTTCAGTCTGTCTCTATAGAAGAAGCATTAGATCAGGGGTCACCAGACTTTTTTTTCTCTGGGGGCCACATTATCGCTCCTGACTGTGATGGGGGCCAGCATCGGGTCGGCCGTATAACAGAAATGTACGACCCTGACGACGCAGATTATATTCTTTGAAAGCCACCGCATTTTCTTTAAATATCAGACAAACTGCGCAGTTCTTACACTGAACAAAAAAAAATAATCGGTCATCCGCTGTTCTTTGAAAACTCTGCACTCTCTGTTAACTTTTCATACTTTAACACAAACCATTTTTCCATCCTTAACTGCACTACAGAACTCTACGTGCTTTGACTGTCACTGTTTGATCTCGAGCTTGTCAAGTGACGAAAATTCTACAGCAAATGTAAATATGTCATATAATAATTCAAATATCAAGATAAATACTTCATATAAATATCATTTTTTAATTGAAAAAATCTACAAAATACAAGATGCAGACGTGTTATTATTTGCCAAAAAGTAATAAAAAATAGGCCATGGCAACTTTTGAGGATTAGTTTGAGGACCCCTGCATTAGAAGGTCCATTATATTGGTCTAAAAATAAAAAAAAAAATCCAAAACACAAGCAAAAATCCAAACCATGTTGTGTGACATTGCAGAATTCCTATAGATTAAACTGAGCTGGAGCACATGTTCGAATTCGATGGTAGATTTGATGCTTAAAACTGCATTGCGTAACTTTTCTGGAGGGTCCGTCAAATGCTTTTCTTCCTGGACATGTTGTAGCTTTGTCTGGAATGTTTCAAAGTATGGCATTAAGCTTTTCTATCTTCATGGAGACCAAATCAGACCAAGCTACACAGTCAGAATGTGTTTTTCTAGGTATTTTTAAGCTATAAAACCAACTGTAATTGAATAAATATGAGGTAAAGCTGCTACACATTCCAGGCAAAGCAGTGACATATCAATAGAAACAAGCAGGTGATGGACACTCCACCCGAAAAGTTACACAATGCCCCTTTAAAATACCAATATCTTCGTAATTACTCACGTTTCGGTCTTGTAGGTCGAGCACCTCTCCAGGGGGATCTTGAGCACGCGGTCGCTCAGTCCCACAAACAGGGAGCGGTCGCTATGGAGAATCTGGAGGCTCAGGATTGGCTGACGGAGTCCAGACGGGAGGAGCTCCATCTCTTCCAGGTAACAGCCCTGAAGACTCTTGTTGGGCGTGGCCAGGGCTTTGAGAATGGAGCCGTACTCTGCGAGGAAATAATATAGATAATGAGTTATAGAGTCTTTTATATAGTGTATTTGAACTATAGTTTTACAATTTACAGATAATAACATCACTTTTACCTGGCAACTATCATTTTAAAAGGCCCATATTACACTATTTTCACTATTTTCTGATCTGTTATAAAGCTTCGTCGCTGGTTGCTAGGCTAGTGCATGTCAATGGCCATAGTTAGCCTGCCACTAAAAACAGTCTTACCCACTCCACAAAACACCCAAAAAGAAGAAAAGATTTATAACGCCAGACTGTCGATGTAAATGTCTGTGTTGATAGAATAAATTTAGAAATAAAAGCAACCTTGCATTTGAAGGATTTATGTCTGAACAGCAGCAGTGAGCTGTACTTCCTGATAGAAAGATTGGAAGTGGCGGACTGATATATGAGAAAATAGTCCCTCAACATGCGACGATTCATGCGATGCAAGGTTAGGTTTATTTCAAACATTATTCTATCAACACAGGCATTTACATTGATAGACTGGTGTAATAATAGATTTGTTTCGGGTGTTTTGTGGAGTGGGTAAGACTGTTTTTAGTAACAGGCTAACTATGGCCATTGACATGCACTAGCCTAGCACCAACGACCTCTGCAAATACAAGGACAGGATGGAATATTTTTAAAAGTGTCTCCACACGTCTCCAACCCTCTGGCTCACTAGGAAATGAGGTCCTGTGACCAAAATTCCAGACTGTCCCTTTAATAAATAAAAAAATTTAAAAAAGTCATACAGCAGAACATTTGTTACAACCAGCTGCCTGTGACATTGAAGATGCGATTAAGTCACGTCCCCCATGGAAAGCTTTGTCAGGTTGTGAAGATGTCTGCTGCTGAATCCATGGTTTTATCACATGCCCAGTGTCGGTAACTACACCAGAAGTTGTCAACCACATGTTTCCATGCTTCTTCTGGTAAGTGCAAATAGAGCCTACTGCCAAAGTCTACTGAACTAAAGGTAAAAGGTAGCTGTTAACTTGACATCACAAGGTGGAACAGAGCATTTGGAGCTTTGGAGATGCAGACAGACTAATAATAAAGGGTTACTCAAACATGTGCGAATGGAACAAAACACAATTCCAGGTATGTTTTTGAGGAGGTAACAACATTATAACTTGGCTTAAAGCTCATAAGAGACAATTTTGAGTAATGTAGGACCTGTAATTAAATAATAATAATAATAATAATAAAATTTGGTCCAATAATCAGACTCTTCCTCCCTCCCTCTCCAGAGTGTACAAGCGTTTTTTTTTTTGTTTTTTTTTTACCCTGATACAAACTCATGTTCTTACTTTTGTATCTAATCTTTCAATTCTGTCAAAGATTGTCAAAGTTTCACAAAGCACCACACTGCAGTCATTACTCACCCATTCCCCACACCTGCTGTTTACTCCACATAGCCGCCCTGGGGTAGACTGATGGAGGGGAGGCTACCCATCTCACCTGCTTTATGGTTAATATCTATAATTACTGGGCCTATCCACATGGAACAAAACTGGCACAAAGTTCAGGACATGATTGTTGTCCGATGAAAAGACTGTAAATATATGATTAAAGTAGCAAGTTTGTGGAGTCAGTTCCTAAGTAATAATAATAAGATTAAAGGCCCATGTTAAGCTATTTTCTGATCTATGTTATAATGTGGTTTCCTCATCACAAACAGACCTAGAGTTGTGTTTTCATGTTTTCATTCACACATGTTTAACGCACAGTCCCTGCATGTTCAGGCTGAGTTCTTCTCTCAAACTTAAACGTGGTCTGCTGTGTTTTAAAACTCCATACACGTTCACTAGAATCATTTGGATTATTTCAGATCTGGAATTGCCAATCTCTACTGAACTCAAGGTAAATGGTAACCTGATTCATCAGCCAGTTTTACTTCGTTTCACTTCATAAAAACCGCCTGACCTCGCAGCTTTGGAATTCGTTCGTTTGATGGTAGGCGGGTACTTTTTATCATTTAACCACGATTAACGTCTAACTGTTATATTAAGCTTTTCCCAAATCCCGTAGGTAGAACAGCAATAACGTCTTTCCCCTTGATAAAATTCACCAAACATTCTCTTTATTCCGGCTTTAAATCCTCGATCTCGGGAATCGTTGACAACACTGAATATATGGCTCTTCGCTGATTGGCTGGTGCCTGAACTTGCACTTCTGGGGTTTTTACGAACCATCTGTTGTATTCTGATTCCTGACCTAGCTGCTGTAGAGAAATGAAATTGAGCGGAGACACTAGATGGCGCCAGCCTGGCTAGACAAATGGAGCTGTTTACTTGAAAAGTACCATTAAATGACATCACAAGGTGGAACAGAGTGTTTTGAGCTTTGGAAATGTAGACAGACTAATAATGCAGGATTACTCAAACATATGAATGAATTAAAACACAAGAGGTGTGTGTGAGGAGGTAACAAATATGGGTTAAAGCGTTAAAGAGTCAATTTTGTGTGTTATAAGAGCAATGTCAGTATATTATCAACACCAAGTAAAAAAAATACTAAAATGCAAGAATGTTCACCCTGTCCAATAGATTACCATTACACCATATTACCATCATAAAAGTAGTTTAGATATGGGCTTCTTGCAGTTTGGATGGTTGAGATCAAAACAGTGGACAAAATTCCGAGTATATTTTTGAGGAGTTATTCTAACATGGATAAAGCCTCATAAGAGGGCAATTTAGAAAATTATGATCCATAAATGTTTATGGATAATAATTTTCTCCCACAGAGTTGTAGAACATGACGGTGACCTACTAAAGCACCCTTTTAAACCAAATAAAGCTGCTTATTATTTCATGCAGTTTGCAGTTTTGTCATCAACATTCCCTGGGGATGCGACACTAACTGGACTGCTACACTACACTGCTCTGTTTGCTGATGTTTGCATTGTGTCACCATGGTAACTGCTGAACATGCCGCCATAGAAATCCATGTAGAAGCCCCCAGCATGATGTCACTACAAAGTATCAATTGATCACCCTCTTTTAAACATGTGTTGTTCAATCCATTTTGTATTTTATCTTGAATTTTCAGACTTAAAACTTTTTCAGCAGTGCTAATGTGCGCACCATGGTAATTACTGTACATTTCACCATAGACATACATGTAGAACCCTTCTGATGTCATGATGTCACTGCAAAGTATCAATAGATCTCATTCTACAACTCTAGTAGAGTGATGCGTCCCGTACCGGTGCTGATGTAGATGACGTGGTAGAGCGTGTCCATGCCCTGCACGATGTCCACCACGAGGCTGGAGAACCTGACGTCGTCCTGCATCACCAGAGGGTCAGTGGTCTCCGGCTGGACCACGTCGTTCATCAGGTACAGCCTCTGAGCGTCCTGCAGGCTGCGCTCGGTCAGACCCTCGTTGGGACCCCGCTCTGAAATAGTCCCACACTGAGGAGACACGGAACACAATGGTTAAAGTTCAGTTGGAGGTCAGGCGTGAATGCAGTGGTAGTTTGCTGTTTAACTAACAGAACTCAAATATTCGGTCATGGTTTGAGGGTCACATCTGTAATTACTGGGCCTCTCCACATGAAAGAAAAACTGGCACAAAGTTCAACATCTTCTGTCAGTTCTTGTCAACCATAATAGTACACCCTAAAAAATGTTGGCTTACTTTGATAACCCAGATGCAGGGTCAAACAGTGTTGGGTCACAAGTTGGGATATGATAACACAAAGTTGGGTTGGGTTAAGATAAATGACCCAGCCTGTTGAGTTATGGGGAAGGGGGTGTGGAAGGCCATTATCCACCCCCTCTGCCTGCTCCATGAGAAACCATGAGATATTTAACATGTTTTATCTTTTTATTTTAGCACTTCATTTCTAACTTTCTAAAGCTGAACCTTTATGTTAAGTTTCATGTAAAAATGTCAGTAAGTCCTCCTTAGCCTGTAGTCTCTTCTCACATGGCTTAGCTATTGTTGTGATTACAAAAGAACTAAAGTCAACTTATAACCTAAGAATAAAACAGTGGTGTAACTGCTTAAGATGCCAATTTCCTTAAAATAGCTTAACTTAAAAGCCAAAATCAAAGTCTAATATTGAATGTTAGCTTTAGCCCGACCAGAGCTTGTTGGTTTTCTTTAGGCCTGATGTACTTAGGGTTCATTGCCAAATAAAGTGGCAAGGACAAAGCATAGACAGGGGACTTTTTCAAGAGATTCTATTCTTAAACAAATGACACTCATTAAAACAGTAATTTAATGACAGTCCCTAACAAGCGCTCAGAGTGCAGCTCCCTGCACCGGGGAATTATATAAATCTGGTTTGAAGTTTTAGGGTTCCCAAACTTTAGCTTCACCTTTGGCTTCTGCCCAAACCTCAATGCTGCTCTGTGATTGGTTGAGGCCACTGGTTAACTGGGTGATCACAACACTGGAGGCTTAATCCAGATGAATTCTCCAGAGTTTGTGGCCTCACTATTATTAAGAGAATTCATCTTGCTGCCAGGTTACCAGCTCAGGCCTCGTGCCCTGTTCAAAAAGACCGATATAAAAGTGATCCATTAAACTGACCTGGAAGTTGTGAATGGGGTTGGGGGTGGGCAGCCATGTTGAGCGCGGGTTTTCCTGGGACCTGAAGGGGCCGTTGAAGGCTTGTGTGATGGCACTGAGGTTGAACGCACACACCGCAGATGCCGCTATACTGTTGCTTCATGGAGACAGAAACACACAGAAAAAAAAAATCACATTATTGCAGGGTCACATGAAAAGGAACATTTGTGATAATAATACAGGCTAAACCATTAGTACAAACTTGGTTGAGGTTTTTTAAAGTATTGTTAAAAGTTCTGTTTTCTCCAAAATCCACTCTGTGTTTTTATTGTCGTTTTTTGCGTCTGCAGAGTCTTTACGGTCAGTGTTTAAGATGCTCTATAGCACTAACAATAACTACTTACCATTTATTTTATAGTCATAGATGCCACTAAGAATATTACTCAGAGTAATGCACGCATTCACACTTGTCCTGGTTTGATCTGAAGTCCTGATGTAGACTTAGTTTAGTTCTGTTCTAGTCCTGGTTTAGTCCGAGTCTAGTCCAGCTTAAGTCCTAATCAGCTGTGGAACAAGTACTCTATTTTGATATTTAAGTAAAAGTACAGTACCAAAGGGGAAAAAGCAGTAAAAAAAAAAGTAATACAAATACAAATGTAGTGATTTTGATACAGATTTGTGCTGAATTTTGTTCAACAGAAACAACAGAATTATTTTTTTCCTATCTGTTTTTATTTTTTTTATGTTTTTGTTTGCTTAAACTTTGATAAATAATAATATATATATTTTTTAAAACTCTTAAGTGGGTCTCACACAATAATAAAAATACTTTTACTTTTCAGTCCTGAAGTAAAAGTAAAGAGTAAAAAGTAAAAAGTACAGATATCTTTTTTTTTTAAGTACAGTGCTTTACTACTTTACTTTGTTACGTTCCACTACCGGTTCTAATTTAGTCCCAGTTTTGATGCAGTGTGAATTCAGCAGAGGCGGCGCTACCATTAGGCAAAAGTAAGCGGCTGCCCAGGGCCCCCCAAACCTGGAGGGGCCCCCAACCAATTGCCCTCATTGTCACTAATAGCCGAGGCCTCAGAGCAATTAGATTTTCTCTCAATATGACATTAAATGAGAGTGTTTTACTTTTAAACAATAATCATAAAAAAAAAAAAATAATAAACATATATAATGGATGTAAACAAAAATGCAATTGTACTAGGAAAAAAATAAAACTACTTTTAGTCGTAGTTTCTAGTAGACGACCAAACGAACAAGACAAGTTTTCAATCCACCATAATTCAAATAAATAGAAATGTGCATGTCTCAAGAACAATGGGGAAAAACAGACAACAAATATATTAAAAAACAAACCAAAAAAACAGTGCATTATAATGAGGACCCCAAACTCAAGTTCACCTAGGGCCCTCAAATTTCTAACTCCGCTCTGGAATTCAGCCTGAGTCAAATGTAATATCCAACAACAAAATCACGATGAAATACCGTATTTTCCTGCCTATTAGATGCACTCTTAAGCCTCCAACCCCATCAAAAAACGACCGCGCGTCCCACAATCCAGAGCGCCCTGTACACGAATCCACTCAGGTGTCCCAGCACGACTTCAGTAAACTACAAACAGTGCACGCAAACGCGCACGGAGCAGACAGCGACCACAGCCACACTCATCACTCCACACGGACGAGGAACGGAACGGAGGAACGAACCAAAAAAGCGAGTGCAATGTGCCACTTCTAGACACGACTGAACAACTGAGTCACTGCGAACACCCCTCCAGACAAGCACACACGTGAATCACCGTGAACGTGACAAAGTCCAACTGACCCATCACACTGTTGAAAGTCCGGGATTCAGTGACGACAGTGCGCCTTATAATCCAGAGCGCCTAATAGCCCGGAAAATACAGTAACTGAATAGAGTAAAAATGACTCTAACCAAGCCTATAACCAACAGCAGGACTTGAACCACACGCTGAGAACCACCGTCTCATACTAAACATACAGTACAGCCGTGCGTTGTCGCTGTGCAGGACCGTTTCGCCGACAACAATGGCGCTATCTCGTCTCTCCAGGTAAACGGTAATAAAGCCAGTGGACATCGGGGTGTGTATTTAGTAATGTGATGAGCGCTCACGTTCGGAGCCGCTCTAAACATCCAGCGCTCGCCGTCCCGGGGGCTAAGCTGCGCTATCTGCGTCGCACAGTGAATGGGGACAGCGCTAAGCCTCGGGTGTGGGAGGGAGCGCAACAGATTAGGCAGGTGTAGCGTCAGGAGCTAACCTCGTAGAGAGAGAGAGAGAGGAAGGAAGGTAGGAAGCGAGAGAGCGGGCAGGAAGTGAGAGGAAAATGAAGATGATGAGAAGCGGGAGAGAGAGGGAGGAGAGAATGATGGAAAAAAATTTGGGAGTAATAGAAAAAGATAAGGTGAGAAACGAGAAAGTAATGAGCGAGGGAGAAGAGAGAGAGATGCGAGAGATGGATAGAAAGAGTGAGAAAGAGAGAAACGAGAGAGATGAAGAGCAGGAGACATAGATGAGTGGGTTAGGGAGAGAGGGATAAGGGAAAGAGAAAGAGAAAGAGAGAGGACATAAAGAATGACGTAAAATTTGATGGGAAGAATAGACAGAAGAGAGGGAGAGAAGGATAAGAAAGAGAGAGACAGAATGACATATAGTATGGTTTGAGGAGGGAAAAAGTGAGGGATAGAGTTGGGGAGAGAGGGATAAGGAAGATAGAGAGAAAGAGAGTGAGGAGATAAAAAATGACAACATTTGATAGGAGAGAAAAAAATAGGAAAGGGTTAAGGAGAAGAGAGAGAGAAAGAGAGTTGGGAGATTAAGAATTACAACAAAATTGAAGGGGAGAAAAAACAGGAGAGTTCGGGGAGAGAGGGAAAAGGAGAAGAGAGAGAAAAAAAATGACAGTATAATTTGAGGAGGAAAAAAGTGAGGGATAAAGTTGGGGCAAGAAGGATGAGGAAGACAGAGAGAAAGAGAGAGAGGAGATAAATAATGACATAAAAGTTGAGGCAGGAATAGACAGAAGAGGGTCAGGGAGAGAGGGATATGGAAGAGAGAGAGAAAGAGAAAGTGAGAGAAAGGAGATAAAGAATGACATACATTTTGAAGGTGAGAAAAAATAGGAGAGAGTCAGGGGAGAGAGGGATAAGAGAAGAGAGAGAAAGCAAGAGGAGATAAACAATGACATAAAATTTGAGGGGCAGAATAGATAGAAGAGGGTTTAGAGAGAAAGAAGAGAGAGCGAAAAAGAGAAGAGATAAAGAATAACATAAAATTTGAAGGTGAGAAAAAATACGAGAGAGGGATAAGAAGAAGAGAGAGAAAGAGAGAGAGGAGATAAAGAATAACAAAATTTGAGGGTGAGAAAAAGCAGGAGAGGGTTAGGGAGAGAGGGATAAAAAAGAGAGAGAGAAAGAATGACAAACAGTATAATTTGAGGAGGAAAAAGGTGAGGGATAGAGTTGGGGAGAGAGGGATAAGGAGGATAGAGAGAAAGAGAGAGAGAGGAGATTAAAAAAATGACAACATTTGACAGGGAGAAAAAAATTAGAAAGGGTTAAGGAGAAGAGAGAGAGAAAGAGAGAGAAGAGAAAAAGAAAAAATATCAAATTTGAGGGTGAGAAAAAATGGGAGAGTCGGGAAGAGAGGGATAAGAAGAAGAGAGAGAACAAGAGTTGGGAAATAAATAATGACAAAATTTGAGGGTAAGAAAAAAATAAGAGAGAGTTTGGAGAGAGAGGGATAAAAAAAGAGAGAAATAATGACATACAGTATAATTTGAGGAGGAAAAAAGTGAGGGATAGAGCTGGGGTGAGAGTTATAAGGAAGATAGAGAGAAAGAGAGAGAGAGGAGATAAATAATGACATAAAATTTCATGTAGGAATAGATAGAAGAGGGTTAGGGAGAGAGGGATAAGGAGAAGAGAGAGAAAGAGAAAGGAGATAAAGAATTTAAGGGGAGAAAAGATAGAAAAGGGTTAGAGAAAGAAGAGAGAGAGAAAGAGAGAGGAGATAAAGAAAAACATAAAATTTGAGTGTGAGAAAAACTAAGAGAGATTTTGGGGAGAGAGGGATAAAAAAGAGAGATAAAGACAAACAGTATAATTTGAGGAGGAAAAAAGTGAGGGATAAAGTTGGGGCAAGAGTTATAAGGAAGATAGAGAGAAAGAGAGAGAGGAGATAAAGAATAACATAAAATTTGAGGGTGAGAAAAAATACGAGAGCGTTTGGGGAGAGAGGGATAAGGAGAAGAGAGAGAAAGAGACGAGAGAAAGAATTACAACAACATTTGAGGGGGACAAAAATAGGAGAGGGCCAGGGAGAGAGGGATAAGAAAGAGAGATAAAGAATGACATAGAGTGTAATTTGAGGAGGATAAACGTGGGGGAGAGTTAGGGAGAAAGGAAGAAGAGAGAGAAAGAGAGAGAAGAGATAAAGAATGACATAAAATTTGATGGTGAGAAAAAACAGGAGAGAGTTTGTGGAGAGAGGGATACGGAGGAGAGAGAGAAAGGAGATAAAGAATGACATACATTTTGAAGGTGAGAAAAATAGGAGGGGGTCAGGGATAGAGGGATAAGGAGAAGAGAGAGAAAGAGAGAGAGAGAGGGGTTGATGGAGAGGTGATTCTGGCTCAGAGGCTCTTTGGACATAATACGGTGCAAAGTAATGAGATTTTTAAGTGCCCAAACCCACGGCTCCTGATGCTGCTGTTTTCTTTCGAGGCTAAAAGACTGCAGTGAGATGGAGATAAAGGACGAGACCAGAGCAGATAAGAAGACGGGAAAAAAGAAAAGACACCACCAAAAACGTCCACAAGGGGCAGCAGGGGCGAGACCTCTTCAGTGTAGACTTGTTGAACACAAATCAGCAGCGCTACGTATTATTTGCATCGATTTCAAGTTGTCATTGATCATAAAGAAGAGGTCTACATCCTATGGAGTAAGAAAGCTTTCAGAAATATTCGTGTGTACAGGATAGAAATCTGTGCATATTTGTCTGTAGTTGAGCATAAAACAAATATTGGTAAATTCCATAGACCGTATATACTGTATGAGTGGACATAGGTAACGCTGTAGCCGCCCTGTGCCAAATAGGAAGTTCGTCAGGAGGCTCTTCCGGCTCCTTCT